TTATTATATCAAAGACAGTTGCCATCCAATCACTTTCGTGAGAAGGATATGATTGTGTTCTTTGGTCCAATCGTGGGTTCATCATATGAGTGAATGGGAGCAACTAGGATGAAGATGGATAGGCCAGAGACACTGAGGAAGGGCTATCAGAATAAAGACAGCTGGAGGAGAGAAGACCCATTACATGAAACCATAGAGTCCAGAAAATCCACATTCCCTTGGATTGGTAATATACATGCACCTGGTTGACTAGTTATTATATATGCACCTGGTTGACTAGTTATTATCTGTTCAGTTTATGGGTTATATTTTGTTAGTTTGGATGTATTGATGTTTGTTAATTATGTCTTCTTTGGTGTAGGGACTGTGTTGGTGTTATTGTATTACTCTTGGATAGATGATTAATTGGCAACGAAGAATTGTTTTTGTCATCATTGTAAACTTTTCTTATTATTATTATACAGGATTCATATAGCACCAACAGTTTGCGCAGCGCTTTACAAAACTGAGGGAGACAATGCAGTTAAACAATACAATTTCAGTACAAGAGGTAAGATGGCCCTTCTCGTTAGGGCTTACAATCTAGTAGGAGGGGCAAGTGGCAAGTCATACAAAAGGTAATGGCGGTTTGGGATGATTTAATGGAAGAACTGAAAGGACGGTTACATCAAGGTGGTAATAGGCCTCCCTAAAGAGATGAGTGTTCAAGGATCTCCTGAAGGTGGACAGAGTAGGAGATAAGCAGGCAAAACACGTAGAAGGTTGGATCCACTGCACATCAATACATGATTTGAAGATATTATTTAAACGATATATAGTTGTTAGACATGTGCACCAGCAAAAAATTTGTTTCGTTTTGATTCAGATTTTGAGTTGTTTTTCGGAATTCTGGTCCGAAAGTCAATTCGTTTCGGAATTCGGACGAAATTCGTTGGCGGTAATCTGTACAAATTTTCGTTTCAATTTCGTTTTCATTTGTTCTAGGGCTGCAACAACTAATCGACTAAATCGATTATAATCTCAAAAGCAAGTTCCTACCAAGTTCAAGGGAATTATTTTATATAGAAAAATGCATCTTATTTGTGTATCACTCGCCTGTAGACCTTCAATTCATCTTTCAATTTGTGCTGACACTGTCCTTCCTTCTGGAGGGTGGCTACTTTTGTTCACCATGGTCCGTGTGTGTTGTAAAGTAGCCGCCACCACTCCAAGCTCTCTCTCGTGATGGACTACAATCTTACCTTTAGTTTACTAACTTGTATTAAGATTGTAGTCCATCACCGGAGTGAGCTTGGACCAGTGGCTACTTTACAACACATACAGGGATCATGGGGAACAAAAGTAGCCACCCTCCAGAAGGAAGGACAGTGTGAGCATTAAATCAGATATGATTTGAGACTCTACAGCTGAGTAATACACAAATAAGATACATTTTTGTGAATAGATGGGGTACTTAAATGTATTTTTAAGTTTAAACTACTGTGCTAAGTGTCACTTTAAGCCTAAGATATTTTTCTGTGTTCATAGATTTTAATTAATGGGAGTTGGACACAACCAGCAAGCCAGCCCCAATAATAATAATAATATACTCTAAGGGCAGTTTTTTTTTCCAATGGCTATAACACATATGCTGGGTGTTTTATTTCTTTTATAGCCACAGTTTACATTAAATCAGTGGTTCTCAACCTGTGTGACCTCAGGACCCATATTTGTCCTTGGTCATTAAATTGCGACCCAAGTTGCACTGCAATAGAACGCTCGGCATTAGGGTACCACGCGTTCCGGTGCGGGGATGTACGAACTGTGGGTTCAAATGAATGGCAACACAACTCCCACGCCAGAATGCACAGTAGGTGCGATTGCATGGTACTATGCAATTAACGCACTGTACTAGTGTGAACGGGCCCTCAAAAACACTGACAGACACAAACAACCACAGACAAAATCTCTCACACTCTCACACACACACACACACACACACACACACACTTCAAAAATGTTTTCATTTATTTTTTTAAGGTCCACCCAGTCTCCCTACCTAAACTGGAGTAGATCCTCAGCCTGGTGTGTGTCCATTGCTGGGCTGGTGTGCTGGAGCTCCATCCATATGTGCATTGCTTGTATAGCTGCCTTGCGTGCCCTGTAGAGGTGCCGGGAGCCAGAATGTGACATCACTCAGGTCCAGGCTCCTCTACAGGACACGTGAGGGAGCTGTAAGCTATGCACATATGGATGGAGTTCTCTCCCAGCCATAGCCCCACCCCACCTCAAGCTGATGCTCAGCATCGAGCAGCATATTTTGAATGGCTGCTTGGCACGGGAACTGACAGTGCTGCACTAGGGGGAGGCTGAGGAGCCTCTCACCTAGAAAAGTGGAAGTCTTACGGGGACCCACTTAAAATGGGGTCACGACCCACCAGTTGAGAACCAAGGCATTAAATGAAAGAGCAATCTGCGTAGGACTAGGATGGGAGAGAGGTCTTTCAGTGGCCAAGTCAGAACAAAGGAGAGAATTACTAAACTGTACATCTGAATTCAGAAGCTCCAAGTGCTTAGAAGTAATTTTTTACAGACTTGGGTATGAGTAAGCTCCTTGTGGTGTACGCTTTTTTTTAGTTTTCGGTTAGTTTAACAGTTTAGGCTGACCGATTTACGTTTATCCGGGGATAGCACATATATTTACCACAGTTTAATATTTACTTTAAAGCTACCCAAACCATTCATGGAGGAATCTCTGTATACTATAAATTAAATACACAAGATATGCACAGTTGTGCAGTGTTCTACTGCCAAGTAATGCCAGACAGTCCTATTTAAAAGTAACTGAAGGCACAAAAACAGGATTTTTTTTTCCAGAATACATGTACAAGCAATTACTCCATCTGCAACTCAAGTACCACACTGAGGAGGTGCAAATGTTTTAAGTTGACACACTTGAGACTGCATGAACAAAAAGAAAGTTTTCCCTACAACAAATGTTTTCCCTCTCAGTATTCATACATTACATGGACTTGAATATTTCAAGGAAACACACACATGAATGAAATACTGGGACTGTACAATTTCTCTTACTAACATCAAAAAGTTTAAGAACTATGCTAAAAGGTTGCATATATCATTATTGGAAATAAACCTCTCAAGCCAGAGCTGAACATGAAACGTCACACCCAATTTTTAAAACCATTGCACAGGTAAGGAGACTTATGAAAAACTTAATGTAAAACATACCCAAATAAACCCCTTCAATATCAGGAAAAAAATAATTATGATGCATTAAATAAAAAATAGCAGAGGCCATGGCTGACCTGGAAATGTTAGTTTTCTGTCTTTAATGCGGTCTCTATTTGTCACTAAATTTTGGGGTTTAATAAGGAGTTGCGCTAATATTGCACAACATAAAAATTTTCAACTACCACCATTTTATTCTATAGGGTCTTGGCATTCAGAAAATATATAATGTTGGGGGGTGTTGCGTCATTTTCAGGCCTAAAATGTGGACAGTGGTTCACCACAGACATACAATATAGAAAGGGCTTGTACATTTTCTTTGACTTTATCAGCATGCTTGTGTTAAAGTTGCCCATGCACGTTTAGTTTTTTCCCATTCAGCCTGCGAGAGAAACTCAGGGACACAAGAAGTTAGATTCATTAAATACTGGAACGTCTAAAGCAGTCCAAAGGGGTGCGTTAAAGGGCAAACAACTAACAGACCTGTAAACAAAAACACCCAAAACAGGGAACTAGAACAGAATATGTATCAAAAAAGGCCATCTGAAGGACTTTTAACCCAAAACTCGCATCCACAGAGGCCTGAACGTCCACCTGGTAGAACTGGACTAAAGTGTGAACTGAGGACTAGGGGCAAACCTTACAGATTTGAGATACGGAAGTCTGATGCTGAAAGGCCCAAAAAGCACTAACACCTAGTAGAGTGTGACATCACCAGAAAGAAGGGGGGGCTGAGTGGCAGTCCTAGGAATCCACCTAGCAATAGTGAAGGGAGAATCCAATTGTGCTACACAGGAACTCTCTAATATAACAAACGGTGTCTGAATGAAGGCCGCCATGAAGGGGTAAAACCCTAACAGCCCAAACCATATCGAGAAAGTGGAGAGAAAATTCTTTAGGATGCTTTGATGCAGGACATGTCCTGGTTAAGGCGAAAGGCAGAGACCAAGGAGAAAGGAGGCCTTAGACCTCAGAACAACCTTCTTTTCGATGACCGAAAAAGGACTCCTTGCATGCTATGGCCACCATATCAGAAACACGCCTAGCAGAAGTGATGGTGACTTATGGAGTAAGTAGGGTCAAAGGCATATCTCTGAGACGTTAAAAGGGTGGCTTCTGAAGGGCCAGCAGAACAAGTCTGAAGTCCCCACAAAGGCACTAGAACACCTACAGGGGGAACAATAAGGGTGACCCCCCTCCCCCCGGACTGGTGTCCCCAGTGCAGTGATCCATACACTAGAATTGGCAGGCTCGCAGTCTGGAATAATCATAATGCTCTCAAATGGTGAGTGCTCACTGGTCAACAAGGTCACAAGACTGCACTGAACAATGCAATACTCTGCAGAGGAGGAGACCAGGTCCCAGAAGTAAGAAGTGCTTGTTACTGGTCATTCCGATCATGTGACAGTGGATCACCCGATAATGCACTATTGTGCCTTGTGGTGCAGTTACAAAAAAATAGTGCATACAATAGTGCATTAACACAGTTTTCACACTACAAGCAGCTGGAGAGGTTAGGGATGGCTTGTTTCAAAGCTTTTATACCGCTAAGAAGGGTATTTAAATACCTGTAATCTTCATTGCATGGGCAAACTTCAAAATTATCCATATAAGCCATTTCAGTTTACTGCTAGTTAGCACAATATGGTGCTAACTAGCAGTAAACTGAATATAAGTGATAGCCAGAACATTTAAAAGTGATTGATAGCCAATGCATTTTAAAAGTATAAATCCAACAGCACAACTGTAAGTTGCAAAGCCAATAAACCTACCGTCTCCAGCTGGTATCAGGAGGAGGCGACAAATATACCGATCCATATGGGCAGCTGTCTACGTGACACACAAGTTAAGGGATAACATGCTTATACACTTAGTGATATGCAACAATTATTTGTATAACACAGGACACAGAGAGTTACTAATTGAACAGTTTTGCATATGACATAATTCTACTATGACAGGTCAGTAAAAACTGAATCTGGTAATGAAGTTTATAAGGGCTAAATATCGGAAGAGTAATAACGGACATTATAAAAATGTAAATCTAGATTCATACCTCTGGTTGTGGTGATGGCTTTCCTAATTTTGTGTTTAGGTGAAAAAAAGAGGCGATTTGATGTTGACAATATATCAAACTACATGTAAATATTTAGAGAGTTTTTTTTCCAGCCCTGGTTGGATTTTTGGTCCAACTTGGCGACTATATTTTAAACCAGTAATTCCTCAAGCTGTTGCATCGGAAAGGGAACCTATAACAGATATAGACAGACCGATAAGGATATAGATAAACCTCCTTTCTTAATCGTACATCACAGGACAGAGGGCATTACATTTCGAACAGATGGGTTATGCAGCTACCTTCAGGCGATTGGACACTGGCAAATCAAATATATTAGGACAGACCTGTATAACCACTCCCACTTAGTTTTGTAGCAAGCAGTACAAGAGAGGATCACAGAAACACAGAGGGGAGGGTCCTGTGTCCAGCGACGCATACCAACAATTGACTTGTGGATAAAAGCTGCAGCAGAGAGGTACATTTTAACAGCCCAGAATCAAGCCCAAAAATAGTGAAATAATCATCTTTATGTTTGGGTGCAGGACACAAAGATGGTAAAACAATATCCTGGTTATGGTGGAAGGCAGAGACCACCATAGGTCTTCGTAATTGTGCGATAGTACTGAGACCAGGCCGTCAGCTCAGGAAAAAGGGATAGTGATGAAGAAGGCAACCTTGCGATTGGGTAGGGACAGAGGAATGTATCTGAGGGGTTCAAATGGTGTCTTCTGCAGAGCCAACAAAACGGTTAAAGACCCACCGAGTTACTGGAGTTTGCACAAAGAGGACAATGCGAGCAACCCAATACACAAAAGGACTTAACTAGAGACAGAGGAAAGCGGTCCCAGAAAGAAATCGCAAAGGCAGAAATATGCCTGGAAGACAGAGACCAGATTATGGAGACAGCACAACTGTATCCTCATGGACTACTTGAAAGGGATCTTTGCATGTCAAGGACAACAATTTAGAAACATGCTTAGCAGTGATGGTAACAAGGAAATCCAACTTGGGAGTAAGGGCATAGGGATATCTCTGAGTGGTTCAAAGGGACGCCTCTGAAGGGTCAACAAAACCAGAGAGTGACGTGCCAAGGGAGTCACCAGAGCATGTACAGAAGGAACAATGAGCGACTCCCTGCAAAAAACCTTCACTAGGGAGTTAAAGGCAAGAATCACCAAGAAATAAATTTAGCTCTTAATAGTGGTCAAAGCCAAATACTGGTCTAGGGTTGTGTTAGACATCCACCACACAAGGGAAAGCTTTGTCTTGTTGGGCAGGGGAACTGTTTTGAAAGAGGCCACTATAAAGCCCAGCACCATCATGCAAAAGCGAGCATCCAGGCGACCCTTTGACCATGAGATCTAAGTGGAGAGAAGGGATCTTTTGCAGAGGTAGGTAATCCCTGTATAGGCAGTTGTCCAAGACTAGGCCCAAGTACTCCAAAAGATAGGAAGGTTCCAGCAATTAGGAGATTCAGGAGCCATCCAAAGCTCTGCAGGGTTTGTATCATCCAATGATTTTGGAAAGCAAGGTTTGTGCTGACTATTTTGAGAAAAGGGTCCTTTAAGTACCCCATAAATAGGATTCCTCGAGACTAAAGCCGGGGCAGCATTTTGGTGAAAACCTATGATGCAGTGGACAGGTGAAATGGAAGGGCAACACAATGATAGTGCTGTGTGCAGACAGCAAAGCGCAGGTAGCGTTGATGGGCAGGAAAAATGGAGATGTGCAATTATGCATCCTTGCCAGAAAGTCCCCCAGATGAAGGGAATCGATGGCAGAGCAAGTATATTAAATCTGCAAAGATTGGACTTGCAGAAATCCATTAAGCAACTTGAGTTGGAGAATAGGTGGAGAACCTCCCCCCTGTACTCTGGGAACATTTAACAGGTTTGGTAAAACCCCTGGAACTTTTCTGCCTTGAGTACAAGGACTATGATCTTCTCAATGCCCTAGGTCAGCCCCTTGCTCAGGAGATCCTCCCATCTTTGGGGTGATCTTGATAAGTTTGGCAGCTGAAAAAGAGGAAGAGGCAAGGAGCAAAACTCCAGCACGTAAGCTTTGGTTACAACACTCTGGTCCCAGAAGGCCAAGAAGGCTTATAATTGTGCATCCTCTTGAGAAAGTGAGGGGACCCCTTCATAATCTTAAAGGCTTGCTCCAGCATTTCACAGGCTTATGATGAAATGGAGAGCCTGGCTTAGATTTTGATCCTGAGGCTTGGGAAGGACAAAAGAAACCCTTCTTGAAAGAGGGAGCAGATGGATAGGCCCCAGGGGCTCTGACTTCTTCCGATGTAAGAAGGTGCTCTTGCCCTGCCCCCCTTACTTCCTTGATGCAGGTATCCAAGGATTCACCTAACAGAAATTCCCCAGTAAAGGGTCTCAGGGTCCTAGCCATAGCCTTTGACTATGCAAATAACGTCTGTCACACTGCTATGGTAGCAACAGCAGGTTGCATAGCAGGGCCTGAAAGGGAAGGCCTTAACCCCTGCAGGACCAATATGTTACTCCCCCTTCCTTTCCAGGACATTAATCAGTTTTTAGTGCTGTGATAGTTTGACCATTACTAGGTCACGTACTGCACTCAAAATAATGTTAAATTTTCAGAGCTTTTTTGGGTGGTATTTATTAACCAATGGGTTATTGGAGTGAGAATAACTATTTCATCAAATAATCTTCAGTCAGCCACTAGTACTGGATGACATTGGTACTGGCTGTACAGGCACTGGAACTCCCTTTACAGGTACTGGCAGTACAAGCACTGGATGGCACCGGTACTCAGCATACAGGCAATGGTATTGGGTGGCACAGGTACTGCCTGGTGATCAGGAAGTAGCTCAAACTCTTTTCTCTCACAACAGATCAGTGTGTGACTGGAAAGGGAAACCAGGCTGCTGATCAGGGTGGGGAGTGAAGAGAGAAAAAGCAGAGCATAGGGCTAGCAGAAAATTGTGTCCCCAGAGGGAACAGAAATATCCGCAGAGCCATTAGCAGAGATGTTTCAGCCCAGTACTGTGGAGGTGAGGGATGCCTAGTGTCCCAGCACTGTAAACAATGGTAACCCGGAGCAGAGATGCAGAAGTGTGTAGCCAGCTCAGTAGTCATGCCAGGAGAGGAAATGGCAAACCTGCTGCAATCCAAATAGCTGCTAATAATTGTCACAGTGGCTGTGAGCAGAATTTAGTGAAACTTGCTAAAGAGTCTTCAGTAATAAGTGGAGAAATAAGATGTACTTCTCAGAAAATAGAAAGGGTGTCCATCACCTAAGGACACTAGCAAACAACTGAGGAAGGCTGGGAGTGGCAGATGTTACACAGGGCTGTCCTAACAGCGTTGATTTGCCAGTGCTCAATCATCTGAAGGTAGCTGCATAACCCATCCGTTCACCTTTTAATGCCCTCTGTCCTGTGATGTACGAGGTTTATCTATATCCTTATCGGTCTGTTATAGGCACCTTTTTCCGATGCAGCAGCTTGAGGAATTACAGGTTTAAAATATAGCCACCAAGTTGGACCAACAATCCAACCAGGGCTGGGAAAAAAAACAAAAAAAACTGCCAGGCTATTCACAAAATGGTGAAGAGTTAGGAGAAGGCAGGAGAAGTGAACAATCTAGGCCAAAATAGCTGATTGGGAAAAATTATCCTATTCAGCTCACTTTCCAGTTCAGCTATGTTGTCCTAGATCAGTGGTCTCAAAGCACCGGCCCGCGAGCCAGTACTATGTGGCCCGCAGCCCGCTCACAAGTCTTTTACACGGTCACGGACTGCGTACCAGACTTGCGGGAGCAGCGACACGGTCTGCATCTCTGTCGGATGCAGACCACATAGCTGCTTCTGTGCCGGCACTCGTCTTCTCGGCCGGCGTCTTCGCTAAACGCAGGCCGAAAGGATTGGTTAGATTAGTAATGTCTGCAGCAGGGGGGGGGGGGGGGGTTTTTTTATTGTTGTGGGGGGTGTTATTTTTTTTGTGGGGGGGGC